CGGGTACATTTCTAACGAAGGAAGCTTTCATAGAGGGAATTGTTTAGAAAGCATTTGAGGCTTTTGACTCCATTTAAAATCCTATCGGAGAATCGAAATTTATATTTAGAAAAATATCCACGGGGCATTTCCCCAGATATATTACTTCTTTAAAAGAAGATCCGTCTTTGAGCCTCCCAGCTTTTGCTTGCAAAAGGCTCGTGATGAACATCTCAAAACAACCAAAAGAAGTAAAAGAGGCAGTGCATGTTGAAACAGACTTAGAACTCTTTAGTTTTAGCTTCTCTAAATTAGCAGTCTGAGATGTCCCACGACCTATACTGAAACTTTGCTAGAGATCTCATGGAGGTCAACCCCAGAAGAACTTAAGGGTTTTTCTTTTTGTTGTTGTTGTTTAAGACATCTTCAGCTTTGAAAATAGTATTTTCTAAGGATGTAACCATTTCACAGAGTTTTTTAACACGCTGTCTCTCTCTCCATATATATATTTGAGATGGAGTTTTGCTCTTGTTGCCCAGGCTGGAGTGCAATGGTGCAATCTCAGCTCACTGCAACCTCTGCCTCCAGGTTTAAACAATTCTCCCACCTCAGCCTCCTGAGTAGCTGGGATTACAGGCTACCACTACCATGTCTGGTTTATTTTTTATGTTTTTAGTAGAGATGGTGGTTTCACCATGTTGGCTAGGCCAGTCTCAAACTCCTGACCTTGGGTGATCCACCTGCCTCAGCCTCCCAAAGTGCTGGGATTATAGGTGTGAGCCACCGCACCTGGCCTGAACTCCAAAAATGTCCATTTTTGATTGGCATTTCTCATATAGAGTCAGGCCATAAAAATCACGTGCCATTCTTCCCACCCGATGGGCCAGGGAGGATACTCTCATAGTGAGGAGTGTGCCCATGGAGATGACTTCCAGGAGGGCATGTGGGCTGCAAATCCTGGCATCTGTCTCACTTGGGCCTATTGGGGACAAGAGACCAGCCACCCCGGCCCATGGGGGCTCAGCAGACATTACAGCCTGGCTCTCCTAGGGGACCACACAATGATGGAGCACCTGTTTTCTCCAGGCACTTGGTGGCTGCTTCCCCAGGAACATCCCTCTATCCTCACGGGTACCCAGCCATGGACCTCAGGGAGCCCTGGACAAGCATGCACGTGTGCGACGCTTGTAACCAATCTGCAAGGTCGACATCATACAGCCCATTTTTGGATGAGGGAGTTGAGTTTTAGAGCATTTACATAATTTGCCCAAGGTCACAGGACAGCTACTCAGTGGTGGAAAGATACTTCAAAAGCAGTTCTTCTGGGTTCCCACTCCTGCACTAGAACCACTGTGTCGCAGTATCTATCATCGTGTCCTTGCAGTGACCTGGGGAGAGAGGCTGTCCTGCAGGCGAGGAAAGCTAAGTGACTCGCTTCAGGCTGTCCAGCTCCCGAGTGACAGGCCCAGCCTTCCCACCCAGCTCCTCTACCCTGGCATCCAAGGTCTCATTCCTTGCCTCCTCCTTAACTGATTTTAACACCTGAATGGTGTCTTCGAGTAAATGTAACAGTCCTAAGAGGACAAACAAAAACCTTTGCCTAATACTCAGTCCCCAGTGTTTCCCGCTCTTCATCATTCCGTTCCTTTAGCTGTCTTTGAAAGGTGGTTTCAGCGTGTAAATGTAGCAGGTGGAAGAAGCTGTTGTCTTGCTCAGAGGCCGGAAACCTGCTGACATTTCCTCCTTCTCTGTGGAGTTAATCAGAAATTATTTGGCTGGAGACCTGGGTATTATTTTAGAAGGCAGACTTGGGTAGGCTGACCATTGGAAAAGGTAGCGTTTTCTAATTCTATTAAAACAACAAAAATGTGGGTTTTGGGGTTTTATTGTGCCTTTTAATTTCCAGAGACCATGATCCTATCTATAGAGTTATTTTGGGTTTTTGCAAAATTATCTTCTTTTCACAAGAAACTCACCATTGCCACGTAAGAAGCATTGTATTGTCTGAGGAGTTTTCAAATACATATCGCTCTGCCCGGGTAGACACTAGTCATCTTTTGTACTTGTTTTTCTTTGAAATGAAAGTTCGGCAGGTATCAGAAGCTCTGGTAGCACTTTTCATAGGTTACCCTACGGCTTATAAGCCTGCAGCATGCAGGGGGCAGCCCCACTTCACAGCTGACGCCGTGTGAGTTTCAGAGAGGTTAAATATCTTGCTCGAGGCAGCAGAGCAAATAAATGACAGAACTAGTCAATGAAGCCTGATTTTATTTTATTTTTTTATTTTATTATTATTATTTTTTTGAGACAGAGTCTTGCTCTGTCGCCCAGGCTGGAGTGCAGTGGCCGGATCTCAGCTCACTGCAAGCTCCGCCTCCCGGGTTTACACCATTCTGCTGCCTCAGCCTCCCGAGTAGCTGGGACTACAGGCGCCGCCACCACGCCTGGCTAGTTTTTTGTATTTGTTTAGTAGAGACGGGGTTTCACCGTGTTAGCCAGGATGGTCTCGATCTCCTGACCTCGTGATCCGCCCGTCTTGGCCTCCCAAAGTGCTGGGATTACAGGCTTGAGCCACCGTGCCCGGCCTTATTTTATTTTTTTGAGGCGGGGTCTTGCTCTCTCACCCAGGCTGGAGTGCAGTGGCACAGTCTCAGCTCACTGCAACCTCCACCTCCCGGGTTCAAGCGATTCTCCTGCCTCAGCCTCCCGAGTAGCTGGGAGTACAGGCACCTGCCACCAGGCCTGGCTAATTTCTGTATTTTTAGTAGAGATGGGGTTTCACCATGTTGGCCAGGCTGGTCCCGAACTCCTGATCTTAGGTGATCTGCCCACCTTGGCCTCCCAAAGTGCTGGGATTACAGGCACGTGAGCCACCGTGCCCGGCCAAAGCCTGATGTTTTCATTCCAAAGTTAGGGCTCTTGGCTAAGTTGCCAGGTCTTCTTGCTCCTATACCAGGCAGTTTTCATGAGTATAATGAAGAGTGAGCGGCCAGAGCTGCCTCTGCATGTCCCAGCAGAGCCGGGTCAGAGCCATTCCAGTACCAGCTTTCAAAGGCGCCAACAAGCCGTGATCCTTCTAACTAATAACCTTACAGACTTTGGTGTTCCCTTTGTTTGTTTCACTGATGCCAGCTGATGGATGCAATTGAACGTCATAGTTTGCAGAATAACCTGCTTTAATCTGTGGATGTCTACTTCTAGCTGTGCCTTTACCAAATATTGTGCATCAAAGTCAATTTGTTGGCCGGGCACAGTGGCTCATGCCTGTAATCCCAGCACTTTGGGAGGCCGAGGCGGGTGGATCACCTGAGGTTGGGAGTTCAAGACTAGCCTGACCAACATGGGGAAACCCCATCTTTACTAAAAATACAAAATTAGCCAGGCACGGTGGTGCACACCTGTAATCCCAGCTACTCAGGAGGCTGAGGTAGAAGAATTGCTTGAACCCAGGAGGCAGAAGTTGTGGTGAGTTGAGATCACGCCATTGTACTCCAGCCTGAGCAACAAGAGTGAAACTCCATCTCAAAAAACAAAAGACAAAAAACAAAGTCAATTTGTCTTATCCATTCGTACCTCTTCCTTCACTGTAGACAATGCTTACAGAAACAGGATGGTAGCTCCTAAGCTGCTAGATTTCACATGCTGAGACAGTAATAAGGGGAAATGAACGATGAGCTCATTTTCAAAACTGGTGTTTGCCTTTAGAAACTTGTGCCTTAGATAGTGAAAACAGTTTGGAGGCTGATGCATAGTGCATGGAGAAACACATTTCGCTTCTTCACTTTTTTTTTTTTTTTTTTGAGATGGAGTTTCACTCTTGTTGCCCAAGCTGAAGAGCAACAGCACGATCTCGGCTTACTGCAACCTCCGCCTCCTGGGTTCAAGCGTTTCTCCTGTCTCAGCCTCCCAAGTAGCTGGGATTACAGGCGCATGCTGCCATGCCTGGCTACTTTTTGTATTTTTAGTAGAGACGGGGTTTCATCATATTGGTCAGGCTGGACTCGAATTCCTGATCCACCCGCCTTGGCCTCCCAACATGCTGGGATTATAGGCATGAGCCACCATACCTGGCCTCATTTCTTCACTTTTATGCAGAAGTTTCACTTTGCTACAGGAATAAGATACTTTCGGCTATGTATTTCTAAGCAGTTACAGCATCTCTTAAGTGTGCAAAGTCAGTGTTCCATCTTTATGAAGTTTTCTGGGCTAAGTTTCAAATGCCTGAAGCTCCCATCTGACATGTCTGAAGAGCCATGATCCAGGGCTGACTCTCTTACAGTTGCTCTTCTCTTTGGTCATTTTTTTTTTTCTTTTTCACTTGAATGAAAAAGTGCATGTCTTTTGTCTTTTTTTTGTTGTTGTTGTTTTCCTTTTTGGTCTCAATAAAATCGCCCAATACGGCCATCAGACCCACTGCATGGTGCTATGAGAAGTCATCCAACTAGTGGGAGGAAGCAAGCAAGAGGAGTTGCCAAGGAAGAATTTTGATCTGTTTGAAGGAGTAATCATTAAGATACATATAAGTCATTTTCAAAAATAATTAAAAACCCTAAACAAACTTCCAGATAACACTTTGTCAATAACACACCCGGTCCTGAGATGCAGTGTGCCATACGGAGAGATGAGGATTCAAGCTAGCCTTTTCTTTTTTTTTTAAACATATTTGCCAAGTTACATTTCACACGTAACCCTGACCCCGTCCTCTCCCCAGTCTTCCCCTACCTGCACCCAAGTATAAACTGAAAAGCCCCTGAAGCCCAGATCACTAGTAGGCTAAAGGCATTAATTACAACTGTAGCTGAGGTTATAATGGGCTGCAAAAATTTCCTGCTGTAATTGGAATATAGATTCAACAGTTTTATTGAATGTCAAAGCACATTATTCCGCACAGCTGCTAGAGAGGCACTGCTGAACCGATGCTTCTCTTCCATGACAAACACCTATTAAGCAGTCAGCATAAACTCTTCCCTTACAACCTCTGACATCACCCCCAGGGCAGGCACACACAGAACAGCAATTGCTGAATTGCGTATGAAAATTATAGTTTATTGTCTATACAACTGAAGGTTTCACTCGGACTCCTGCTTCTGTCGGAGCTGTATAAAGAAGCAATTCTTCTCATAGAACAAATAAGCACAGTACACTATTGTAATCTAAGAAACAGGCACTATTTATGTATTGGAAAGCCTTGCTCTCAATAGGGCTAACAGTCCAATGGCCCATAAGCCACTATTTTAGCAGCTGTAGAAAAGAAAGCTGTGGAAGTCACAAGGAATGAGATGCTAAAAGCAGCAGAGAGGGATGATCCCAACACCAACGGGAGGCTTCAAGTCCCAGCTGCTGCCACTGTTAGTTCAGCAAGCAAGACTCGTAGGTGGGGACCACGTACTTAATGTTGATAAAGGCATTTTCTCCTCCGTAGCGCTCGAAGGCCTCCAGCGTCTCCTGGATCAAGTCACCAATGTTCTCCCTCTTCTGCTGGCTGTAGTCAATGCCATCTCCGGAGTTCACTGGTGCATGCAAACACACAAAGAGGGCAGTTATTTCTCCGCAATTTCCCGAAAAGTCCTACACAGTTTCTACTGAATGCTTATGAGGAGACACAAACATGCGAGATTTTTACACGATCTTGAGGAGTTTTAAAAGCAGTGGCAACTATACAAAAATACCAACTCCCAAATTGGAGCCAATGAAAAATAATCTAAAATGAAGGAATAACGGAGTAAACAAAAGCGAGTGAATCACAGTTACAAGAAAGAGGACAAGTCAGGGACTCTCTTTCTTGATCTATTATATACAGAGTGTTCTCTTGGGCCCTGAGTCTTCTGAAATCACAGCACGGCGTCCTTAGAAGGAACAGTCTATTGTGAGATCAGGCTGTTTGTTCCTTGTGATTTAAAATGGATCTGCTTTGGAATGAGGCTTAGCCCCCACCCCGCATCTCTGCTGCTTTTGAACACATGGCAAACTCTTTCTCCTGAATCCCAGTAACCCAAGTGTTCAGTTCCCTGAAATCATTTTGCTCATTCCAGGTGCAGGTGGGAGAGGAGGAAGCTGCTTCTCCTGTCCTGGCTGCTCCCGAACGATCACTCAATGCTGGGATGCAGCTATTTGTCAGTCAGGGCTTTGCAGGGAGTTTGTGTCACTGCTAGTTTTAGAGTCCCCAAGTCCAGGGAGGTGTGTCAGCTGTAGGGTCTGGAAGTGATCGCTTCAGTTGCCTCTCAGGTGCTAGGAGAGAAGCAATTTCTAGGGTGGCCTTCAAAGGCCAGGAACCTATGGCTAACAGCCTCTCCTCTATACCACAAACTCAATCTCGAATCCCTTTGAAAAGAGATATGCTAATGTATCCAAGCTGCAGGAGTTACCAAGGGTGAGGGAGTCTGACAAAAATGGGGCCCCTTAGCTTCCATTCTGCGTGTAGACATCCCACAATTGTTTTCTCTAATGATAGTCATTCCATGCTTTCTGTTGTATTCCACTGCCAGGTAACCAAGGGCTTCAACGACATTTATTCTCCCAGCAAGCAAGTCATGAGTGTGTCCTGCCTTATCTGCGGTGGAAGGAAAGTGCACAGGTGGGCTGGGACGACCCAGTAGGATGAGGGTGACCGCTCAGGCCTAGAGGGTGCCACGGGGCCAGGGACCTTCAGTGCAACTTGAAAATGTGCATTTCACTAGAGAAAGAATTCATTTGATTTATATTTCAATTGTAGACCCACAATGTTTATTTTGTTTGAATGTGAAAATAATAGAGGGAAAAATGGTGTTTCCAATCTTTTATTCTTCCTTAGTCATCCGAGACATTTAAAAAAGACTTAGTAATGGTTCAGACCAGAATAAATATAACAATTACAATCCTACACAGCATAGGGAAGCAGTTCTTTTGCTTGATGTTTCCAGAAACTTATTAGGGAAATATCACTGTCTTCTGTGATATACATACAATAAATTGCTATCCTTATTCATTTTTTTGGTGAGGGTGAAGGCAGGCAGATATATCACTGATTTTCAGAAAAAAAAAAACAGATTGGGAGTCACACAACTGTAGTGCATGTCATTTATTCATAATAAATGACCTTAAAATGGTTCACAAAGCCATTGCAATTAGGTGGGGTTTTCCTTCCTCATAGTACATGTCTTTGTGCTGTCACAGGTAAAGCTGGATTTCAATTTATTTAAAGTTCGATCATCCCAAATATTCAAATACATAGAACAAAATATTATATATATACACACATACATGTATGAATGAGAGAGAGGAACAGAGAGAGAGAGAGAGAGAGGGAGAGATGATGTCAGATACAGTGACTCATGCCTGTAATCCCAGCACTGTGGGAAGCTGAGGTGGGAGGATTGCTTAAGACCAGGAGTTTGAGACGAGCCTGAGCAACACAGCAACACAGCAAGACCCCACCTCTATAAAAGAAATGAAAAAATTAGCTAGGTATGGTGGCATGCGCCTGTAGTCTCAGCCACTTGAGAGGCTGAGGTGGGAGGATCACTTGAGCCCAGGTGGTCGAGGTGGCAGCGAGCCATGATTGCGCCACTGCACTCCAGCCTGGGTGAAGAGTGAGACCCTGTCTCAAAAACAAACAAACAAAACAAAAAGAATATATCAGAGAAACAAAAGATAAGATTTTTAAACAAAAGGGTTCTTGCCCTATTGCTTTTTAGAAAAACGACGACGATAAACTTTGTAAAAACAAACATGTAAACAGATACACCTTTGACGTCCACCGGCTTTTCTGTTTGTATTTCTTAAGATTGACATGGTGTTCTGTCTGAGGTGTGAGAAGGTGCAGGTGGGAATGGCTGCAAGGGATAGAGGAAGCCCTGTGGCCCTGCTGCAGGGAGCCTTCCACGAAGGGCTTTGAGCTGGATTGAGAGAGGAGGAGGAAGCTTGTGTTGGGAGGAGGCGTTGTTGACAGTTGTCACGGGTGTAAAGAAGAGATGTTAAGGAAGAAGGTGGGCAGGACGAAAAGCAACAGGGGATTTGAACAGAGGTGCTGGCGGGAGAACCCTGCGTGACAGGGGAGGTCAGCAGCAGGGCACGTGCTTTACAGAAACAACTTCAGCTTCCCAGATTCCAACCAAAGCAGGGACGAATGTCCCCTCAGAGTCGGGCTCATCTTTGTGTGCCCCTTCTCTCCAAATTATAGCTGATCAACTCCTCCTAGGCATGAAAGAGGTGGACCTAGGGAGATGATGGCATGGCCTGTTTGTGTAGGGCAGACAGCCCATTGCACAAATCCCTGGAGGGCACACGGAAAAGATAGTTGGTGATGATGCTGAGCTGTGGCAGCCGTGATCAAGTTCCTTATGGAGAAAGATATATACATTAGTCACTCATAAAGGGTGCCTTTTGTTGGTATATTAGTCAGAAGGTCAAGAGCTCAATAGACCAGGAGACAGACATATTTTCCTGATAGAGGGAAAGGGCGTGGAAGATCTGCACACAACGGAAAGCTTAAGGCACCTGCTTTTCCACTGCCCCAGAAGGCAGCAATGACAAGCAGAACTTTATCTCATTTTTTAAAAAATATTTGACTGTAGGAGTAAGTAAACTATGTAGCTTTTTTGTTTTTCCACACTGTATAACCTCAAATGATTAAAGAACAAACCACAATAGGAGTTGCTTATTCAAAAAGTGAGTTGGAGTTGGAATATTTTGTGGTTGCAGAATGTGTATCATTGGGGTAGAGAAAAGGCCAAAAAAGGAACACTTCCCTTACTTTTCATGCTGAAACAATGACCCTTGGGGTCTAATTGTGTTGAGAAGCAGGTGAGTCATGAGGTCTCCATTTCAAACCTGCTATATTGACAGTTTTTTGAGAGCCTGAAATTGAGGTGATTAAGTGTGAACTCACCATTTTAAATACATGCGACACTGTTCAAAAATACATTTGTGAGAATAGGACATTAAAAAAATTAAACCCAAATGGTTATTTACAATTGCCAATTTTGATTAGGAAAATGACATTTCAATTTAGGAAGCAAGGAGTGTATTTATGTCTGGCAGCTAGAAAATATACACTGATGATGGAAAAGATATGTTTTATTTATAATCAAACAAATAGGTTGAAAGCAATGGTTTAAACCAGACTTGGTGCTTCTGGAAGGATGACAAGCAGGCAGAGGAGAACAAGGGATTTAGTTTCTGTTCTTGAAGATCCCTCCACGCAGGAGGTGTGCGACCTACTGCCTGAAAGTTGTTCTTGGTTAAAAATTATTTTAAGTGCATTTATTCCTCTGAATATTGGTATTTTTGATGATGTAAGCAGTTTGTTTAAGCATGAATAATATGCACACTCATTTTTCTATCTAAACCTCCTTAAACTGTGCCCACTGGATGCTTTCTCTTTCTGGATGCCATTTGCTTCAGAACTAGGACGCACGTGTCTATCCCAGTCTCTGGTCTCTTGTCCAGCGATGGCATCCTCCCTGCTTCGTGAACTCGGCTTGGGGCTGTGAAGGGACAGTCGTACACCTTGTTACCGAGGGCCACCGCAATGGGGAGCTGCACCTGACACATTTACATTTCACAAAGATATCCGCCACTCCATGGACACGGACCAGCAAAAGGCTTGGATGACATAGGATTTTGATGATGTATTCTCCAGTTCAATTCTAGACTGCGTGCAAACTTCATTCTTTCTTCTACTTTCTTTAGTGATGACTATTACAGGAGAAAGGAAAAGATCAAAGGTGAGGGAAGCAAAGCCAGAAAGGAAGGACAGCTTTGGTGGCCAGAGCGAGGTCTTCCCAAGTCACTCCCGGGACGTGCGCTGACGCATTGCTCTTCCCTCCTGCAGAACGCCGTGGGTCGTGGCAGCAGCTGCAGCTATTTCACAGGCTGTCCTCCCTGTAGACTAAGCATCTACTCCGTGCTATAGGGCAATGCGAGACAAAAAAGACCCTTGCCTTCCGGGGAGCTCGCCATCCAGCTGAGGAAGCCTAATTAGCCACGCTTCCTATAGGATGCAGTGGCCACTTTCTCCCCCATGGAAGTACGTCTGGACCCGGGCACCCCACTCTTTCCAGAGCCTCCACGCGCTGTGCGTCCCCCGTGGCGCTTTGCTTGCCAGTGAGCCCTGCGTCTTGAGAACTCTGAACAGTTTGTTGTAGTCAAGACACTCGGGGATCCTAGAGACACGAAAAGCAGGAGACTTTGTGTGACGGCCACTGCGAGGCTCAGGGAGAGTTTAATTCAGATTTGGATTTTTCTCACTCTTATGCTTTGGGGCAATACTCTTAAATGGTAAATATATAGCCATTGTATGAACAGAAACACACAAAGGAGTTATTTGGAAATGAAAGCCTTATTGAAGGCACTGGAAAAATAAAACAAATAAACGCTTCCTTTAGATTGCTCACTCCACATGCCTGAAGGGTTGTTCATTTGATACCGAACAGATGAAGTCATTTATGAACTCTATCTATACTTTTTCGTAATGACTAAGAAGATCCTAAATAGGCACGATTTCAGGAAGGAAGCCCTTCTGTTAATTTTG